TGTTGTTGTTGTCGTTACTGTATGTGAGGCAGATGAGCATGAGCGCTCATGCTCGTGCCTGCGTGGAATCCAAAGAAAGGTACTAGGTGTCACCTTTCTATCGCTTGCCATCTTGTCCTCAGGAACCCTCCCATCTTTATTCTCCACAGTTCTCAGGTCGCAGGTGCTGCTGCAACACCTGGCTTTTACACAGGGGCTGGGGATCCGAGCTGGGGTCCTCATTCTTGTGTAGCAAGTGCCCTTGTCCATTGAGCCATGTCTCCAGGCCCCTTACAATGTGCCCAGCGCTGCTCTGTGGTATAAAGCACTGTGCCTAACGCAACTGCGGGAGGATTCCTGCTCGCCAGGGCCTTCGAGCTGGGTGTGGAAAAAAGGCAGCAGACCTAAGGCAGGGCAGCGGTAGGCCAAGTGCCTCTGTAAGGACCAGGTGCGCACACAGTGATGCTACACAACAGCTCCAGATAGAGAGGTTCACCAGAGTTCCTCAGCTGCCGCTGAGCACTCCTCAAAGCGAACAGGACATTCTCTCTGCACTGTAGGATCTTCCCTTTGTGTGCTGCTGTAGCAGCATGTGGCCACATGTCCCCTAGCCATTTGTCTCATTGTTTGTAATTTTCTGCTGCTACACCAGTCTCCATTACCAGCCCCAGAGAGACGGAAAGTGCCTGCTATTCATCTTTATAGCCCCCAGCAAGTGACCTGCACTTGTTGGCACTTAGTAAACGCTGGCTGGAGAATGAATGCTCAGACCACATTTCCACCATTTATAACTGACTGCTACCAACATCCGCCTTTCAGATGCTGCACTGATTGTATGATTTTTTCCAAGCTTTCTAAATGCTAGTCATTTTGATGACCCCCTTAGCCTCCTTAGCAAACAGTTCCCAAAGTTTGTGAGTTCTTCCTTTTACTTCCATTTTCTCTTTCAGCAACTCGGTTGAGGGGTGTGGGGACTATTACTTTATCTTGGTATAGCTACAACAAACTGCTGACCCTCCCACCATTGCAAGCTCTTTCCAGCCCTCCTCTGCTCTCTGTTGATCCCTCCCCATCTGTCCAGACTCCGAGATCTGACCAACTCCTCTTGCTTCTATTGAGTCTTTCCAGCCTCTAAGACCACAGTAATGTGGTTTTTATCTTTCTCCCGATGACAGCTTCTAATCACTGCCAGAGTGGCCAGTCCTTACTATATCCTTGTGAGAAAGCTAATTCTTGCCCTATTTTTACAGATGGGAAAATTAGGGTTCTTTAGTATGAGCTCGCCAACAGGCTATTCAGCTGACATCTGCTGCCTAACTTCAGAGCTCTGTGTATGAAAGAGAGACAAGATCTCAGTACATAGCCATACTGACCTTGGACTTGGTTTGGCTTCTGAGAGAGTGCTCAGGTGATAAGTATGTGGCAGAGTTAATAAAATAAAATGGCACCTTCTGGAGAAATTCTGTTGACAGTTATTTATATCAGCAGTGTATGTCCACGTTACTTTACAGACAGTAACCATGCCAATGTAGAGGGTGGGCTGGGAATATTGATTAATGGCAGAGCACTTGTCCTGTGTACACCAGGCCTGGAGGATCGGCCCTCAGCATACCAAAGAAAAGAAGGATGGGAAGAAAGGGGAGGTGGGAGAGGGAGGAAGCAAGAAGGAAAAAGAAAGAAAAGACCTCATGTTAGCTAACGAGGAGAGTGAAGGAGAGGGTAAGTGGACAGAATAGCTCTAAACTATTCTGGGTTTTAATGGGAGAAAGTATAAGAATCTTGCCTTTAAAAAGGCAAAATTAAAGTTGAGCTTGAAGAGAACTATGGAATTTTTTCCTAAAGACAATCTGGGCACTTCAGAAATCTGTAAGAATTTTTTTTACTTCCATTTTAATGTATGAAGACATTAAAATGTTCATTATAACAAAGGTGCTAGAGTTGGCAGTGTCCATCTGGTCATCTCAGCAGAAGTTCATGACCACAGAATGGAGCAAAAAGTGTCCAGAAGAGCCACTGCAGGTGTGCTCTCTGAGACTGTGAAGCAGAGGTCCAGAAGCAGGCCTGGACCCAGCTGAACAGCATCACGGCATCCAAGGATGCTCTCAAGCCAAGAGTGGTGACTGTGGGCCAGACCGGAGTCCATGTGAAGATGTCTTCATTCCTCTATTTTGTCTCTAAATAAAACATTAAGGACATGTCTGGTTCTCTCACTGGAAGAAATCTAAGAGATTACTCAGTTCAGACATTTTACTTTATACCTGGGGCAACCGGGAGACGTTAAGTGACTTGCCAAAGAACACAAACGTCTGATTTGTAACCACAGAGCCCACCACAAGACCTTCCTGCGTGTGGCATGGATAGAGCTGTTCTAGTCAGGGCTGAGGGGACACTGTAATGGCTTTTGTCCTGCTAATATATCAAGTCCAGCCAAACTGCTGGTGTAAAATGACCTCCAACACACACGTGGGAGAAAAGCCATGCTTTCTGACTTTGTAGGAGCAAACAGCTGTGTGGGCGCAGGGACCAGGACTGGATCCTGCTCATGGGTGCCTGGCTCTGGCTTCTTTGCCCGCTGAATCTCACTGTCACTCGCTCTGCCCGCTCCTGGGGACTTCAGGATGCTTCTGCGAGCACAAGCACCCTGTCTCCCTCCCTAGGCATGTATGTTGAGCCCTTCCCGAGACTCATCCCTACGCCACATGCTAACTCTGTATTGTTCTCCACCTCGTCGGCATGCCACAGGCATCTTGGCAGCCGAGTATGGAATTAGCGTCATCTTTCTTCTGTAGAGGAGGATGCAGTGCGCAGAGTGCTCTGAGGAAGCCTGAGTGCCACAGCCTGAAAGTGCTGTGGACTTTAGCAGGCTGTGGGAGGACTGGGAATCGGTGCCTCACCTATAAAATGCAACAACAGCATTGCAGACCTCAGTTGTTTCAGTGAGACAATTTTGTTTTCTTTTTTGAGACAGGGTTTCTCTGTGCAGCCCTGGCTGTCCTGGAACTTGCGCTGTAAACCAGGCTGGCTTTGAACTCTCAAAAATCCAATGGCCTCTACCTCCCAAGGGCTGGGATGAAAGGTGAGCGCCTCCACCTCCTGGCTACAATGAGGTAATCCATTAGCTACTTTGCTAGAGGAAAGTACTGTTCTGTGTCAGCCTGTACAAACACATACCCCATGCACTGCTGAGTCTTCAGGATGCATACCTCATCTTACACATCTTGCTCATGGCATCTTGAAGCTGTCAGGCCTGATCCTACAGCCTCACCTTTGTTCATCCACTTTCCCTGGCACTCCCTGGTGCTACCACTTACCAAGTGTGGTTTGCGAACACTTGCTGTTCTGCCAGTCTGAGCTGAGAGGTGCTACAAGTGAAAGACATAGACTGAGCACCCGGAGAGATGGCTCAGTGGTTACGAGTATTTGCTGTTCTCGCAGAGGGCGGGAGCTCAGCTCCAGAACCCACGTAGCAGTTCATAGCTGTCCATACTCCAGTTCTAGGAATTCTGACACCCTCTCTGGCTCCATGGGAACTCATAAATGTAGAGCACATATATACATGTAGGCAAAACACTCACACATATAAAAATATTAAAAAAAAAGATAGATGCTGAATACCAAAGACTACTATATAAAAAGTACAAAACATTTTGCTAATAATGTTTGCACTGGTTGCATAGGAAATATTATTTCTAACTTATTCAGTATGTAGATACCCTAAAATAAATGGAATTTGCTTTAGTTTTTATAAGACATATAAGAAACTTTTTTGTATATATGGCTTCATTCTGTTTCTTTTCAGCATTGTTTTTTTTTAATAATTTATTTAATTTCATTTTATGTGCATCAGCATGAAGGTGTCAGATCCCTTGGAAATGGAGACAGTTGTGAGCTGCCATGTCGTTGCTAGGAATTGAACCTAGGTCCTCTGGAACAGCAATCAGTGCTCTTAACCACTGAGCTATCTCTCCAGCCCTGATCCTTAGCTATTCTCTATACATTTTCTGCCTTATATGTTAATAGTTTTCATAGTCCATCATTTGTCTTTTGATTTTATCTACATTTATTTTTTTTAATATAACAAACTTTATTCTCCTGGGTTTTCTTTTTTTTTTCTTTCTTTCTTTCTTTTTTGTGTATGGTGGATAATTCAGTACAGTATAATTGATAAAGTTCAAAACCCCAAGCTAAGCTCCATGGCTCCCTGTACAGAAGTTTGCTGAGATGCATAAATGTGGTAGCAGGAACGGACTTGAGTGGCTTCCTTTAGCAGCTTGTAATGCCTTCATTTGTTGGTTCATTACAATGAAGTGATTAAAAAAATGAGTGAAAACCAAATAGTTATGAAAAAAAAAACCTGCTTTATTTCTGCTTCTGTTTTCCTTAAAGGGACATTCCTTTTTTTTTTTTTTTTTTTTTTTCTTATGTTGTGTTTTTTTTTTTTTTTTTTTCTTTTTTTTTTTCTGAGAGAGAGTTTCTTTGTGTAGCTCTGGCTGTCTTAGACTCACTTTGTAGACCAGGCTGGTCTGGAACTCACAGCAATCCACCTGCCTCTGCCTCCCTGAGTGCAGGGATTAAAGGTGTGCACTACCACACCGGGCTTAAAGAGACATTCTTAATTTCAATATATTTTTTAAAAAGTGTTTGTAGGGTTTTTATTGCTTTTTTACATTCCTTTAAAATATTTCTCTTTGTGTGTGTGTGAGTGTGTGTGTGTGTGTGTGTGTGTGTGTGTGTGTCTACATGCCATGTGTGTGCAGGTAACCATGGAGTCCAGAGAGGTCATCAGGTCCCTGGAACTGGACTTTTGGGCTGTTTTAAGTTGCTGGACATGAGTGTTGGGAATGGAACTCCTGCCACAGGAGCAGCAATTGTCCTGAACCACTGAGTCATTTCTCTAGCCCTTTATACAACTTTTTATCCAAATGGAATTGATTTTGGCATGAAATAGGAGTTCATTCACTCTTAAGGGAAGGGGTGGCCTTACACGTAGTTTTGAAAGTAGCAGTGGGACTGGACGGCGCATGTTAGGCGAATGGTTGCTTTCTGTCGCAGTGTCTGTGAGGAGCAGTCGAGTCTTCATGGGGTTTCTGTTGCAAGCACGCACAGTGGCTGATCACTGGATAGCTGGCACCTTTGTCTTCACTCGCCATTCTAAACTGATGGCTTGTTTTGAAGAGGCAGACACCGTCACTCACTCTGACAAGTCTGTGAAGAGGAAACTCTTGTTCATGTGGAAAGCCCCTCCCCAGTCTATGGGGACATTAGATCCCTGTAAGAGAGCACAGTGTTCCCCTCAGTGTGCACACTTAGCTGGGGTAGGAGGTCCCTTTCTGCTCTTTCTGATTTCTCTTCTCCTCATGTCTGTTTTAGAATAGGAGCTGGGTCCCTGTGGCTGCCTACACTAGGGAGCCTAGGAGGAGTAACTAGAACAGAATTTCGTCCCCAGCCTTCCCCGTGCCATTATTCACAGTCCTGGAATGTGATGGTCCTCTTCTTCCTGGTGCCCATGAATCTTAGCTGACCCCTGAAATTTTTTAAAAGAGTAGATAGCAAGAGAGAAGGGAGAAAAACAGTGAAGGGGGCTGAGGCAGACAGATAAGCGGGCATGTTCCTGCTCCCGGTCTCCGTGCCCATGGAAGCGGGCAGAATAGGATGGGTAGGACAGCACCCTCCTGTAGTTCCACCAAGGGAGGCTACGGCAGGGGGATCACTGAGCCCAGGTGGTCTGGCCAGCCAGTGCCACAGCAGTGTCTCATCTCAAAAAGAAAGCAGGGCTGGGCACAGCTCAGCCTTCAGAGTGCCTGCTGCACAAGAGTGAGGACCTGAGCTTAATCGCCAGGACCCGCAGTAGAAGGGGCATATGTAACCCCAGCACTGGGGAGGAGGGACCAGCAGAGCCTGGGTCTCACTGGCCAGCCACCCTGTCTGAATCAGTGGCTCTGTCTAAACAAGGTGGACGATTCCTAATGAATGGCACCCAAAACTGACCTCTCTCTCTCTCTCTCTCTCTCTCTCTCTCTCTCACACACACACACACACACATGCACACACACGCACACATGTGCACCTGTACACATATGAAAATGTACATGCATGTTAATTAATAAAACCAAACTGGGCATAATAATGCCAGCATGTACTTCATAGGGCTTATGAGGGTGAAAGAACAGTGTGTACAGGTTTGGCTTGTGTGTGCCAGTGTGTGTGGGGTGGGGGGAGGGTGAGGATGCAGCTTGCCACAGCACCTCTATGGAGCTCAGGACACCTCTGGGTTGGTCATCTCTCTCAACTGTGTGGGTCCTGGGGATTGCTTCCCCGAGTGCTGGAATCATATGGAATCTGCCTCACCTGGCTTGTAAATGCCTTAAACGCTGTAGCTGAGAGTGGGTGGCAAGTTGAAGAACTGACGATGGACACCTTTTTTAAAAAGATTTCTTTATTATTTATACATTATTCCACCTGCATGTGTGCCTGCACACCAGAAGAGGGCACAGGATCTCACTATAGATGGTTGTGAGCCACTGTGTGGTTGCTGGGGATTGAACTCCGGTCCTCTGGGAGAAGCAGCCAGTGCTCTTAACCGCTGAGCCATCTCTCAAGCCTTTTAATTGAGTCTAAACAACCAGGCAGACACACGCTGGTGAAAACGGAGAGTTCTTTGGCGTGCTTTTGGTTTTTGTTTGGGGATACTCTGCAAGTGGTCCCCAGATACCTGTGTTTCCAGGAGGAGTAACGGATGGCACGCTCTCCTGATAGCTATGGACTGCTCCTGTTTAAAAGGAGGAAGTCACCCAAGGGAAGGAAACAGCCTCCCTTCAGTTCTGCGCACTCAGACTTTGGCGCTTTAGCTTCTCATCTGTTCTCTCCCCGTAGGGGGCAGTCCAGGGCATTACTTCCCGGAAACTCAGCCTATGAATCGCTGATTGTGTTTCCGCAGTCTCTCAGTGGTCGAGTCATACTTTGCTTACTGGGCCAGGACTGAATCGTCTGTTGTGTCTCAGCATAGTGGAGACCCTTCTCCCAACCCCCACTGCGTGCAGCTGGGGTCACCAGCGATCACCTCGTGGCGGATGCCAGATGCTGCTGAAAGAACTGCGCCAGGTACTGCTTGCCCACAGCCCTGGCTGTCACCATCATTTTTAAGTGCTTGATTTCTACTTGTGGCTTGCTATTGCAGGTCCCTGTCCCTGGGAAACAAGCAAACCACACCTGCCCCAGCAGCTGCAGCTGCCTCCAGGGATGGCGGTCACAAGAGGGACCACGCACTTTCAGCTTCTGCGGCAACAAACGGGCTTTATTAACTCACTATATGAATCAAGTTGGCCTCCCAGGGTGAGGGCAGTTAGAACCATGCTGTGAAACCAGGAGACGGGCACACACCTTCCTGGAAGAATGCTGTGCTGGCAGTAAGCACGATGTTTGATGTTTCAGCGTTCCCTTGGATCTGTGAAGCTGAGTGCCACGCCCTCCTGCTTCTCCTCCTCCTCTTCTCCCTTTTCCTCCTCCTCTTCCTCCTCTCTTCCATCCCCCCTTTTTTATCATGCTGTAAAACCCCACACAATATGTGTTAGATAGAAGGGCCTCAACATCACTATGTAGCCAAAGATGACCTTGAACTTCTGATCATCTTGCCTCTATTTTCTAAGTACTAGGATTACAGACGCTCACCACCACGCCTATTTATCCAGTACCTAGGGCTTCATGCATACTAGACAAGCAACCTACCAGCTGAGTTATTCCCCTAGCCCTTCATCCAGTGATCATTTCCATACTAGGCAGAAGGCGCTTTGCAGCCTAGACTGGAGAGGAGAATGGGGAGTAAGAGGGTGTCTCCCGAGGAATCCACCTTTTCCCACTTACCTGCCCGTGATTTTCCATTTCATTGCCTGTGGTCTTTTGAAAAAGGAAATAAACAAGCCTAAAACAAACAATTCCAATCTCCTAATGGCTCTCTCTCTCCCCCTCCCTCTCTCTGTGACACAGATATCTGCCAGATGAGGACATTTTAAAGTGTTTTATGCAGGTTTATTAGGCGCCGCTCCAAGGAGGGCTCACCTGCCCCAAGGAACGGAGCCCGGGAGTTGCCCTGTCTGTGTGAACACTGCAACTTGCACCCACACTGCGTGGGAACACTGCCTGCCATTTTGACCACTGCTGCAGCTGACCCTTGCTGCTGCCTCTGCGCCAAGAGCATGCTTCTCTCTCGCTTCAGCCTCCCTAATCTGACTTTGCTCCTCAAAATCTACTGTTTTCGCTCCATTTTGCAAACGAAGAAACTAACGATCAGAGCAAGAGATACGGTTGAGCAGTTAAGGGTGCTACAGCTCTTGCAGAGGACTGGAGTTCCGTTGCAGTACTCACAACCACTTGTACCTCTGTCTCTGGGGGATCGAATCCTCTGGCTTCAGCAGCAGTATCACTCACGTACATACATATACGTGCACACATATATGTACTTAAGTGAAGGAAATCTTTTCTGAAAAATAAAGCAAAGAAAACGATTGTAGAGGACACTCTCTAGAGTGAGGGCCGGCTGGGCAGAACTTGAATCTGGATGACAGTCTCTCTCCGTGGGGTGTTCTTGCCCGCTCACTGCCCTACTTCTGCTGCTCTGGGACCTCACATTCGAAAGGGTAACTGTTCATCTGCCTGACAACATTAGCTAGATGCCAGTGGCGAATCAGATGGTAGAGGAGCAATGATTTTTTTCTCCACTCACAGGAGATGCTGAAGTCATTATTGTCACCAGGGAAACTTAGTGTTAATGTTATGGCTGAAAGTTCAAAGGCTTTTGAAAAAAAATCTGATTTTCAATGTTCTACTTTCCTTCTCATTAGAAGCAGTTTTTAGCAGAGATGAAAAGCTACATAGGGTATTGTGGGAGCTGAGGAAGTCTTGAGTGAATGTGTACTGTTAGATGTGGGCACAGCCATGCAAGGACCAGCGCCTCAGACCCACGAAACAGCAAAGCCTTCTCCAGCTGATGCTCAGAGGGGTGTCAACCCCTTCCTATGTTGACAGTGCTTGTGCAAGTAAAAATGTTTATAAACTATTAACTGATGTGTGCAAAAGCTAGCAAGCATAGCTCCCTTCTCCCTGATATTTTCAAGGACTAGCTAGGTTCTCACCCTGTGCAGTACACAACACAAGTTCTGAGGTCTTTTTGTTGTATCTTCAGGTCTCTTCTTGATTCCTAGTATCCCTTTATCTTTAACACACACATTCTCAGAAGCCTTTGCTTTTGCCCCTGCAGCATCCTAGACACTGCTCTTACTAGCATTAGGGTGACTACCTGGGGATTCAGAGAGTCTGTTTTCATCATCTTCACACACATCTACTGTAAGCAGCAACGGTCTGCAACCCAGTGGAGAGCACCTCAACCCTGTATCCATCCTTGGATGTCCATAAGTTGGAGAAGCATGTGACCTCAGAAAAGGCATCCTGGACAGCCTTGTTTCCATCTCAAGCACCCACCGTAGGTAATATACACCTGATCACTGAGTCAGACAGGGTATGACAACCACTCAGGTGTTTGGGATTCTGACAAAAAGAAGACGGTGGCCAAATTTATCCTTAGGTGTGTGATGTATCTTCATAGAAGCAGGGCTGCTTGTTAGAAGGGCTGGGTATAATAGCTCGGGGAAACTGAACCCCCAGATGTTTGTAATAAATAAAGTACACGTTTAGGATCTACAATATACTTTTAATATAAAGTGTACATGTATACTTTTGTATTAAGTACTATACAAATGGCACTGCTCGTGAGTTATTTGTCACTTTTCTCACACTTCTCCCTAAACTATCCTTTCTGGTGTCTGTCTCCAAAATAAAACCCTCAGGGTTTATTCCAGAGAAATCTGGATACGTTAAAACACAGAATCTATAGGAAACATAGTCCTTTGTGTTAGACACTTTATGACTCCTTCACCCTTTCAATTTCCCACCTTGAGACTCAGGATGACCTAAGCTTTGATTCTTTGGAAACCTTCCTGCTCTTGAAAAGGTTGAACAGGTAAGGGTGTGCATGGGAGTGAGGCTGGGCATTTTAGCCCCAGCATGGGAAGTGTCCTTCTGGGAAGGAGCTGACAGATGAGCAGCCGGAGTCAGAGAGAAAGCAAGTGTGTGTTGCACGGAGTGTCCTTGTCCTAATCAGTACCAGCCTTCCCAGTCTCTGCAGTGCCTCCAAAGTTAGTGGAAACTGCAGAGAATTGATGGCGTTAGTGATTTGTTTTCCCACTTAGCTTTGCTTAATAATTTCTCTTTCCTCCTCACCCCCTTTATAAAAACTGGCCTCAAAATACTCTGTGTGGTACCAGTGGTCAGATCAATGGGCAATATAAGACGTACATCTAGATGATTTACTTTCCTTTTGACACCTCAGAAGGTACACAAAATAAACATGGTATAGTATCACTTGAAACTATTGACATCTACGGTAAGAATAAATAGCATATCATAAACATAAATCTTTAGTGCTCTCTATCAACAGGGATGAGAGATTTTTTTGTTTCCGTCTGAAAGCCTTTTAAAAGACCCCAAATTTGTTCTTGCGAGTAGGCTTATGCTCTAGCAGGCTTTCCATTAGCTACTCATCCCTGTCAATAACAGATACATACTTATCTGTTTAGTCCTTAACTAAGGGGGTTCTTCTAGAGCAAGCAAGAAGCGAGCCTCCAGCTGCTGTCCAGGAGTATCTATGGAAGACAAGTGAGTTGCTAAGTCTAGTTGCAAATCAGGTGACGATCAGCTCCTTTGACTTCAGTTTCCTCTTGTAGGACAAGATGACAGTCTCTAATAGGTCCATGATGGGCCCTGCTCTACACACTGCCCATATTCCCAAGCCTCAGCACTTCCTGTCTCCTGAAGCCTTCAGTGGGGATGGATCTGAGTCAGCCACCCTAGTCCGTGACTTCCATATCTCTAGTGAGTCCAGGAGCTAGTCAGGCTCCTCAAGGGCCTCTGGTAGCTCCTTGTATGAGTCAAAGGGCAGGAAACACAGAGTGGAGGACGCAACTTCAGAGCATGGTATGGGATACCTTAGCAAGACCGACCTAAGGCCTGAAGTGAAGCCAGAGGAAGCCAGTTCCCCTTGGAGACCCAGCTCAACAGTCCACAGCTGGGAATCTTGATTTGCCTCTCTGCCACCCTGGGTGTGGCCCTGGCTGCTGGACTCTGGTATCTGTGTACTCAGTATTGCTACAAGCGGACAGCAAGGGTCCTTCAGTGAAGTACTGCAGATGCTGTTGCCAGCAGTGACAATGGGGAGGCTGTGTGTGTCAGGAGGACAGGTGATAACCAGAGCTCTTCCTGCAGGGGACAAGAACACCGTCCTCTGAAGAGAACCTTGGACAGGGTCTCAGTGGCTCCACAGTGAGTGTCAGTGAAAATGGAGCTAATAGGAATTCCTGATGAGGCCCAGGCCCCACTGCGCCTGCTGTCAGTGTGCGGTGAGTGCAGGAAGCAGCAAAGGAACAGATTTATCAACAGAGGGAATTCTTCTCCAGCTTTGTTGTCTTAATGTCTGTAATTTTGCTTCTCTTTTTCCTTCTTGCAATTAGACGTTCTGTTTGAAGAGTTAAACTCGACACAATGAATATTGTATAACCTGCTCATTAGCTGGACTCCTGTGGCCCTGACGCTTCCTCTGTTGCCTTAAGGAGCCTGCAGAAATAGACGCTCTGTCCTCCGTAGTCTCTCAGCCTCATCTTCTCTAACCCTTTGAAAAAAGTCATGCTGGGGTTTAGCTGTCGCAAGAAAGAAAGAGCCAAACTCCTCCCTGCGCTCTCTAAACCACCCCAAAAGGAGTTTTCTTTTCAAAGCCAGAGTTCCGAAACTAGCTGGAGGTCTGACTCAGTGGGACAGGCGTGGGTGAGGGCAGTCTGTCTGCCTGCAAGCTCAGGATGCCGGTAGAGCACTGTGGGAGCGCAGCTGGAGCCAGCAGCTTTAGAGAGCTTGGTGGAGCACAGCTTGGGAAATGTATCCACGCCGCGCAAGGCCACTTGTGGAACAAGCAAGCCTGCATTAGGTGCAGCCTTTACACTTGATGAAGGGCTTGCCTTCTCCAGCAGCTTGCAGACAGACTGCCTCTGCCAAAGGTGAGGCTAACAGTTACCTGAGCAGCTTGAGGAACAGCTGTTACTGGCTTATCAGGGGAAGATAGCATCGTGGACGAAGACAATTGCTCTCCTAACTTTATGAAGATTGTTTGGTTTAGCAAGGACAGCACAGGTACTAGCTGGTGCCAGAACACCAGGTCTGAGGCCACACACTGGTATCTTTGTGTCCCTGGGATTAGCTGCTTTCCAGAGGTAAACCCATTGCAGAGTGACCATTTGTTCTACTCTGGAGACATAACACCCCCGCACTTTGGACGGGATATTTATCTCCTACCTTTATCTTTACGGTGAGGTAATAGAAACTGTGTGGTGCTGTATTTAGCCCTCCTGAAACTTGACGAGGAAAGGCTCAGGAAGCCCTAAGAACAAAACCCTGGCTGTCCCCCGTTCAACCGCAAAGACCCTTTGTGTAAATTGGATGTGAGAAAGGTATTGCTCCTGTCTTTTCCTGCTGATTTTAGTTCAGTGGGGATTGAATGTGACACTCTGTCCTCCTGCATCCTGGGCAAAACAGCGCTCGGATCCTTGGGTTCTCGAAAACCTAGGTAAATTGTATGTTCACAAACGAATGTGTTCCAAGAACGCTGTGGAAAGAAACAAACGTTCTTTATTCCGGTGAGGGCCACAAATATTCCTCCCACATATCGAACAAAAAGACATCTTTTCCCTAAAATGAAGACAAAGATCTCACTAGCGTGTGCCCTCACCTGGCCGTGCCACATCACATGTGCCAGGCATGAACACTTCTGAGATCTTCCAGTGCCGAGAGGAGGTCTGTCTCTGTTCTTGTGTGTG